GTATAATTTGTTACTCCAGCTTCACTTGTTCACAATTTCTTCTAGTTCTTATAAATGATAGTATATTTTAAAGTAAAAGTTATTGCACTTGTTAATAGTCATGATCTAATAAAGATACTTCACAATGCAAGACTCGTGTGATCACGTTAACGTCTGTTTATACGTCAGTTATATTCCATCAAATATTTTCCTAGTAGCCGACTGAGCAGAACTTTTACATTCTCATCACGCGGCCAGCGCTTGGGAATTTATAACCAAGGATAATCTTTATTAGCTAGAAAATATAGATTTGATGGATTGTAACTAATCACTTCTAACATTCCTCAATTATCAAAGGTTTGTTGTTGTTTGGCATCGACGCTCAAATAAAACGCTCGCAAATGCTACCACCCAGACTGATCACCTTTTCCCGGGAAAGAAATCTTTTCGTCGAGTGATAAACTGAATTCACAAATGACTGGGTAACGACAACTACTCAGTGTCAGGTTCCCGAAGCCAACACTGGTTATTTTGCTATTCATTTCAACATGACAGAGAACCAAAAACTGGCTATGACTGATTCATCCCTAATCGTCTTTAATCACCACTGCGACACTGTGTAGTTTCACTTACTCCGTCTACAATCAACGCGCGCCCTCTATGGCAGGAGACTGGGAACCAGTCAGGAGCTGTGATGAGCTGGGGCCCGGAAACTTTTCGGGTCCGCAAAGCCATTTTTAGGTCATCTGTATCTAACAACGGAGAAGTGTATACGCCTGAAACTTGTATGAAGGAAACCTATTTTCCTGTTAAGAATATGTGAGTAAAACAGCTCTGTAATCATAGGGTTCGAGATTTTGTTACGGCTTTCCGGGTACGAAAACTTTTCGGGACCCTCGAGAAACGGGCCCCAGGGAACCGTGAGAGAGAGATTCTCTGAAGGTCCATGAGCTGCGTTTGTAAATTGTAGCTGGCGCGATGGTGAAGGGACTGGGTTTCTCTCCTTTTCCCTATCATTTGGCACAAAGCAGGAAAAATTGCCAAACAGAAAATTTCAAATGGAAAACGTGGATTTGTTTACGGGACTGTGTTGTGCAATGAAGCGTTAGCATGAAGGTTGAAGGCAAACAAAATTATTCCGCCTATGTCAGATGCTGAAAACTGCGTGTAAAGATATTCTAGAAATCTGAACAAGATCACTTTAAAGTTGCACAAAGTTCAAACTGTTTTGAACCAGAGTAAATATATTTAATCGAAGTGATCAATTGATAGCAGTAGTTCACTTACAATATTTAATTCGAAGTGAAATCTTTTTCTGTCGTCAATTCAGGACTCGCCAGCATTTTCGAGCCACGGCCCTCAAGAACAAGCCTGAATATCCCAAGGCCGAAAAGAATTATCCAGTACCCAGCTAACGACGATGGTCATGTTATGGCAATCGATCTTGGCTGACCTTATGATAACCAACCATGTAATTGTTTTTGTTGGGCGACGTAGTAGATAAAGCTATGGTCAGCCAAACTCATGAAATCCATTCAACTTGTAAGACATTTCATCGAAGGACTATTTTAGTCTTGCATAATCCCAATTTTCTAAAAGAATAAAAACATTTAGTATCTACTAAATCAAGTAATATCTGATCTTGGAGTTGGAGGTGCGAGGAAATGCGCGACATGTCTTACAAATAACGTCATTTTCGCGCGCTGCGATCATTACCTCATGCAAAATAACGAATCAGGGCCGCGTACCTGCTAAAACACGGGCTGGTACCATGAATATTGGATATCGTGTTTATTTTACTTTCTAGTGAACCAATCAGCGTAGAATGTGATATCGCTGGTATCTGGAAAGGTCGGAAAATTTCATGTCCGAAACTTGGATGTAGAACGACGGAAATTTGGGAGAAAAATTTCCCCAAACTATTATGAGGATCTTGTCAATCATTGTGATCCTTGGATTGTGTGCAGTAGGGTTTTCACGGCCATCAGCAAGTAAGTTAACAGAGATTCCGGTTTGGTTTGGCTTCTGTAACTTTAATACCGAGCAGATTAATGTTTTTTGTAAGTCCTTGATGTGTTAATTTGATCTGAGTGGCTCAACATGCGAGCAACTCTGAACTCAGTTTGACCATTAGTAATGTTAGTATGCGCTTCAAGGATTGAGTTAAATTTTAGCATACCATGGTTTCAAAATTATGGTCAGTGATATGCTTTCACAACTTTGAGTGTTCTAGAAATGTTGACACTCCTCAGAAAATGCCACCCGTAAACCTTTCCAGTGTTTAAAACTGAACTTTATTTTATTCCAAGAGTAGTACACTCGCCTTTGACAATTTCGATATAAACCGCTCGCTATAACTATAAACTAATTACATTGACAACACTTAAAATAACATTATCAACCAACATTTCACGGTTGTGTTTAGGTTAAATTTCCTCTTGTCTGACAACACCATAGGCTGTGAACTTTTAAGTTAAAAACAACAATGAACATTTTACTTCTATTGCAGTTAGCGTTGCATTTAACTTTTCTCTGAATTTAAGCTTTAAACCAAGCAGCATGCTGTTCTTTTACAATATCGTCGAGAAGTTAATTATCGTCAAAAATGTGAGATCATTCAAGCAAGCAAAATACAATCAACAGAAGGAGTCGACATGGTTTTTGCTTTTTGTGATTATACATTTACGCACGAGCGATATCTTAATTCATCCATGAAGTTCTGAAATTTAAGCGTTGGATCAATGAAAGAAATTGTATTTCTCAGTCTGCTGTATGACTGATGATGACTTATAGAGGTACTGACCACACCGGGAACTGTAACGGTTTTAACTGACTAACTGATCTCATTTTAGCTGATTTAAGACTCCCTAACTGAAACTTATTTTAGTCAAGATAAGTCAACTTTCTTTCACCCTTTGCAGACAAATTATAAACATTGGGAGAGAAAATAGTATTTTAAGGCCAAGCAAGGTCGTTTAACAGTAAAGGCTATAAAACAAACATCATTTAGAAAAAACAGACCAAGTAGATCAATTTAGTCTGGGTTTCGATTGAAAGCTTTGCGCAGCTAAATGTGGACCAGACATTGCCGTAATTGAACTGACTGTTATTGCAGAACTGTGTTATACTATGCCATAGAAAATACAGCCATTCAGAATACAGGAAAGCCGTTCTTTAACATTTTCTCGTGGTATACCATAAAATATCAGACTTGTCACCTGTATATTCTTGGCACAACACACAAACCGCCTAAAGGTTCGATTGTATACCGAGAAAATACAATTAAGTAACTCGTGAGATATTCCATGGTATACCCCTCGAAAGAGTTGCATAACTAGTATGTCAGTTTAGTGAGAGTGTATTCGGAATGGACTTTGTGCCAGCTTGTTATATACTATAGTAACTACATTTTTGTCTACTACCATCAAGATTAGCTTCTCGGTCTCTTACTGAGTGCTTTTCCTTGAGCAGGAGACTGAGGGACACTCTTATAAGATAAGCTCTCGTTAACTTCAAAAACTCGTTTGAATTTCTTCACAGAAGAAAACAAAGTTACAGAAGAAGTGGATGAGTCAGACAAAGAACTTATCCGAGTTGCTCGAGAAGATGTAGAGGACGACGAGCCAAAAGGGAAATCTCACAAGGAAAAGAAAAGGTCCACAGAAGGTAACAAAATCAAGCGAATTTATCCCTCCCAAAAAATGTTAAGATTAAAAACCACTGATTTTGCTGTATCATTTTGAATTTAGTGGTCAACAAAAGAGCAAAACGGGCCGCTGAAGAAGGTAAGTTTTATTAACTGTGTCTGTTCACATGCTGACCTTGTTTGAACAGAATCGTAACTTTGCAAAATAGCTCTCTGTGCATTTTTAACTCAAAGTTACGTATGTGTAGATCAGTATATGAAAACACATTCTGAAGTCATCTACCTTGTTAGCTGTATTGCTCATTTAGTCAAGTGTAGAAGGGAGTCGAAGCTTAAGAAGTATTAGGTGACAATACATTGTATTCTCATGTATAAAGTTAAACATAGACTATGTCCTAATAGCATCTGTAACATTTTTAACGAGCATATTTCTGCATACAACCTGGGACAATCAGATTTTTCTACTCCTAGATACAACACTGTTACTTATGGGAAGCACTCTCTGCGTTATGTAGGACCCAAATTATGGGGCCAACTGTCTATGGCTGACAGATCAGCCAAGACACTCAGGCTATTACAAACTATATTCGCAAAAGGGATATAACTCGCTTAATGGACACCGGCTGTAAGGGATGCATCCTATGTTGCACATAATGCCCTTCAAGTCATTTATTTTTTTTATTGTATTAATATTAGTATTAGTATAGTTTTTTAGCAGTGTCCCCTAATTAGTATGGTGTATTATTTCCAGGCTATAAGGTTTTTGACACTTTAATAAAGTTCTCACTCACTCACAAACAAAAAAGAAGCTCTCATTTCTGGACGGTTTTACGTCTCTTCAGTAGCAGTTTAATATTTTTATTTGATGGGCATTTTATGACATTTTTTACAGTTGGATATTTTTAAAGGTAAATTTAGTATGAAAACTGTTCAAATGTTCTTTGAAGTTAAAGTGCAATTTAATTATATCAGACTTTCAACGTGTTAGAGAGGTTTTTTCCCTTTCTTTCTATTGTCGGTGAAGTAGTGTTGTTGTGTTGTGTAAAAAGGGTAAACGTACGACTCATGTAAAAGGGGAAAGGTTCTCTTCACTTGAGTATTTTTGAGCAAAAATTCCTCTATCTTGGGGGCTGGAAGGGCTATGTGATCGATGAGTGAGGGAGTTATGCATGTGCGCGTATCACACCAATCACAGTGTGGGTTGTATCAAAGAACGAATTAAATTGCCTGTTAGAAAATAGGATGGTATCCACATTAATCTGGAGACGTGTCAGATTACACCATTTGCTGTTCATTTACAGAAAATATCCATTCGTGTCCAAATTTGTTTCATTATCGTCAAGATACTCTCAGTAACACCAATATGACCTTCATTTGCGCTAAGGAATGTTGAAGAATAACACTTGCATATGTATTAACATTCAAAATCATCAAAAGATAAACAATACCTTCCTTTGACATTCATTGGCTGTAAATGTATTTTCATTTTTGTCGAAATAAAATTCGTTGTCACGAAACGACAATCATGTACACTTTTGGACAATCCTTTTTCAACAAAAGACTTTCAATAACAGAATTAACATGAGCACTCACAATCAATTGCATTATTGTACAACCATATCCGTGAAGGTGACAATCTTAAGTACGTTGAGACAGGCATTACCGTGTTTTCACTTAACGTTAAGAGAAAACAATAGCTCATTAACGTAATTCTTTTGAACGGAGATATCGCGCTCAATTTTCCCCGAAAATTTTATTACAGAACTAGGGACCGTATGTACCTTTTTTTAATGGTACTTTCACAATCCTCCCCTTGCAGATATAAATTCAGCCTCTTACGAACCTTTTGCGTGCAACTCAGAGGGCGCACTACAGTATACATGTGATACACCTTTTGCTGTTCATTTACAGAAAATAAACAGTCATTTGTGTCCAAATTTCTTTCTTTATGGTCAATAAACTCTCATTAACACCAAAATGACCTTCATTTGCGCGTAAGGAACGTTCAAGAATAACATTTACATATGCATTAACATTCAAAATCATCAAAAGAAAAACAATACCTTCATTTGACATTCATTGACTGTAAATGTATTTTCATTTTGGTCGAAAAAAAATTCGTTGTCGCGAAACGACAATTATTTACACTTTAGGACATTCAGTTTTCAACAAAAGACTTTCAATGACACAATTTGCATGAGAACTAACATTCAATTGCATCATTAGGCAACCATATCCATGAAGGTAACAATCTTTAAAGCGGCGAGACAAACATTACAGCCATAATAACATTTATTTTTGAAAGATAGAATATCAAATTCGCTGAACGATTTATCCTTCAATTGCCTCACTAGT